ATACACACATTTTTTTTTTTTTTACTTTGCACAATAAACTTGTAACCAGGGCTTAATTTGAGCCGGATCCTTCCAGAACAAGATCCGGGAACTCTCAGGCTTACTAATAAATGGTAAATGGACTGTACTTATATAGCACCTTTCTATCTTAAGACACTCAAAGCTCTTTACACTACAATCTGTGCCTCATTTACCCATTCACACAGCACTCTACTAGATCTCTACAAAGCTAATTGAATAAATCATTCTAAAGAGACTAATCAGTGTTTTATCACATTCATACATTGATGGGACATCGGAGGCAATAAGGGGTTCAGTGGCTTGCCCAGGGACGCTTGAGCATGTGACTGCTGGTGGATTTGAACCCCCAACTCTTGCATTGCAGGACGACTGCTCTAACCATTCATCCACAGCCGCCCAAGACTTAATATTAAAGTTATGAACAAATATTGAACAAATAAAACTTATATTGGATATGTAAACTGAAAATAATGAAATAAACATTCATTTTAAACACAACAGCCACTTACAACTTCTTAATATCACATACGAGCTGCCCCTTGAAGTATTCATTTCCGCTTCTACCCTTAAAAAAATCTCTGCCTCTAAAAGAGTGGTGGGTGTCGGAGCCGACCAAGCTAACCAGGCAGTTAACGCAGAGTGTTTACAAATGTAGGTAAACGTAGATGTTTAACAACCCATTAAAATACACCAAAATGCAGGAAATCACATCTACTTTATTCAAAATTTGACCGCTATTTGCATGCCGGCATCAATCAGTTTACAAATTAAGCCCTGCTTATAACACGAGGGGACACATTAACAAAACATTAGGAATAGCAAAAGACTTCAGCTTAAGCACAAATACAAATGTTTGAGTTATTTTTTTTTAACTGGTAAATTTAGAGCAATGTAATAAAAAAGGTGCAAATCATCATATAGATTTTCTTGGGTTGTTCTTTTTAATGCTGTAGTTCACCATTCTTGTGTTGCACATTGGGGAACTGCTTTTGCCCTTGGTACAACTGTGAAAACTTCATATCTAATCTTAAGTTTCCAAAGGGAAGCATTACATCTACTCTTAATAAAGAACGACGTCTAGAGAAAAAGGAAAGTTCGAGAGCTGTGCTCACTTGCTCGCTCATGTTTTTCATTCCGAACCTCCGAATGATGAAGCACTTGTTTTCATTTTTCCCGGCTCCTAAAATTCTTAAAGTTCATGTTTTGAAAAGGTGGAAAAAGCATGACTTTTTGTACTGGCTCACCTCCACTGAGCAGTGCTTTGTTGCTTCAGAAGAGTTGTTGGAGACGTCTTCAGTTCCTTTCACTGTTGGTGTTTGAGAGTCAACTCACTGATGGATGTGTCCCCGTTTGCCTCCTCATGTTTTCACCATCTCTCTTCCGATTAACTGATAAAGTGTGACATTTTCTACTGGAACATTTTAGAAGACAAAAACAATCACATGGAATTAAATAACGATCAAAGTTCAGTTGCTGTATTCACTTCTCTTCCAGGAAGCTTCTGGATGACTTATTTTCACCCTGAAAACTGTGTCGTATATCAGTTCCAGCATTTACATTTTTGAACCATCTACTGACGACTTAAAACTCCAGGAACTGCTAAGAATGAGACTCTTGGCCTTTCTTGTGTAATTTATTGCTATTGAATTGTTGACACGTTCAAATGCATGGATCCACATGTGAGGTAAAGTTTTTTTCACGAGATTCGTAGTTTTTCAGCTGGCTAGCTTTATGACAGATGAGTATTGTTTAGAGCTAAAGCAGACTTAACCTTTTGGCAATGATAGACGGTGACCTTGGGCCCTAAGATACCAGGAGCTTCTCAGAATATCTACTGCAATTTAACGGTTTTAAGTTTCGCCAAAAAATATGTTCCTCAAAAACCCAAACTGATAAATACCCTCTTCCTCACAAGTAAGCCAAGATCTTACTGCTCCTGAAACAACTGGCATAATTGGCAGGTAGGATTTACATGTTGCAAAACAATGACCTATAAGTGTAGACAAGAAAAGGGGGCCCATGTCTGTGCTTTGACTTCAAGTTCAAACTCAAGTAGGTTTATTGTCCTTCTCACCACATGTGGTACATGAAGTGGGACAACATTATGTACACAAGGTCCCAGTTACACCCAACAATAGCAAAAGTGTACAAAGACAGTTTATAAGGATCTAAGATATACGCTTCTCATAAACCTGCCAGTCTTCAGCCTTCGTGTTACCAACTGTAACCTTTGGCCAATTCATATAAACCACATTACCCACAAGACATTGGCCGAAAACATAATTTGTTCTGCACTGCTTCTGACTGGGTCGTAGTCAGAGGCTCAGGTGATGCAGGAGTCCTGAGAA